TTCAACAATTCCTTGAAAGAAACTTGGGCCCCTTCCTGGTCACCTGGTAGTGCATTTATGTGACACATTTTGTTCAATTGGTCCCTTCTCTGCTTGACTAGATAAGATTTTGGCAATCCATTTATAACCATTGACAACTCATGGTAAAAATGATCACCGACACAAAATCTGTCAAGCAGAAAAAGGACCTTTTCAACCTTGGATTTATCATCAACCGAGAGTGCATCAAAACCTTTGTCACTTGCTTGGTCAGTAGTTTTGTTTGGAAGAGTTAAATTATATATAAATGCTTCATACCAGATTTAACTTCGCTTACAATTAAACTCTCAACTTGGAGGCCAAATGATCTTGAAAACCACAATGCAACGTTGGCTCGAGATAAATATTTTTTCAGTGTTCTTGATTTTTTTATGACCTCAGAAATGTCTTTTCCTTTGTGCTGCAAATCTTGGGATTTTTCAAGTATTTCAATGTAACTTAAAAGTTCCTCATTTTTTGAATGCAGATCTGAAATCTCTTTGTTTTTTTTTTCATTTATAGCAGTTTCCATCTCACCATATAATTTTTGTATATCTGCTTCCAGATTGGTACACTTGCTCCTTCATTCTTCAAGTTCATCATGAACCTGTTGGCTTTCATGTTGGAGTTGTGCTAATGAGATGGTTTGTCCCTCAAAAATATGGAACTTTTTGCTTCTGCTATCCAGTGCCATTCTCTTCCTACCTCTCGTATTGTAATACTCCATATCAACTTTACTTGCAATACGTAGAAGTGATTTGTTTACTTCAGATCTGGTGACCTCATCACGACTAATAGCAAACGAATGCCCAGGAATTGAATGTTCTAGCAAATCGACAAACGTGTAGTTAGGTATTACACTTGTTGTTGCTTCGCTGGAAGGTTGGACAGGCTTCTTGAGAACAACTAAACTATACCAAGCTCTCAGTAGAGGGTAAGGTATATCCGCAGCAAAAAGTACATTGTTGGTTGTACTTTTACGGCATATGCTAATGAAGATCTTTCGATGGCTAATTTCCATTGCAAATGAGCACCCAACAGTGGAACATCAGACATTATACTATATTCAAAATCAGTATAAAACAACTACAATCAAATAAAATAAATGTAAATATCAACACTAGCAAAAGTAATCCCTTTATTCGTGAAATCTCAGAACGAATCTTCGCAAGCAAAACCAAAAATATTGAATTTCGCGGCAAATGGCGCCATCTATTTATGAATATACGAGCAAATTTAACAATTAATACAGCGGTATCTACCCTGGTAACCAGGCAACAGCTCAGGAATGTAAAATGGCAACAAGAAACGAAGTGGGGAGCGATATTTCGCTTGTTTACGCTAGTTAAAGAACTATATTTCAGCACTTCATGGACTACATTACATCAAATTTTCAGCATGAAAATTCTATATTTCAAGGCGTTCGGGAACAGGTTTAAAGGAGCCGTTGAGCCCTTAAATGCTGCTAAAAACAGTATAGTTCACCTCGAATTCGTCTGGACGTGGGACCGTGCGAAAACTCGACCATATGTTGCCAAATTTATGTCTTGGAAAACCTCACTTTGGCAAATCGTGTCGATTTACTAGGCGTTTATATACAAGGTGAGAAGTATAAATATCGATCTCTCGGGAACATCTTTCCGCTACTCGGATTGCTACCAGATTTTCGCGAGTTGATACTGACCTTATTTAATAAATTTGTAGACGTGGGACAGTATAAATTCTTAACACGATCCAACACAAAATGCGTATTTTGAACTTTCGCTTATCAAATCTAACGCGCATGACTGCCAAGCCATGTTGTCCTTCATTTCTGGCCATGAATTGTGAATTCATAAAATAAACTCTGCACATACATCGGCGAAGGAAAAACACTTCGGAAAACACTTCATAATAAATTCCAAACAAAATAATATTGTATGGGAGGGCCATCAGTGTATAAGAGGGCCTGGCAGATGTAGATTTACACTTTTATATAATATGAAGTGGGGATGTCGAGATAGGTCATTACTGCAAATACCCCATAACCAGGGGTGGATCCAGACCGATGCCAACGATGCGAATGCATCGGTCAAAATTGAGAAATCATGTTGCTTGAAATAATATATAGACATATTATGCTGTCGTCAATACTTTGTCAAGCACTCAGTAATAGAATATTTTTTATTCTCTCCAGCTATCAAACTGCAAATATTTGCTTAAACTTGACTCCATGTCAGGAATACACTATTTAGGATGAAATCCAATTTAAATAGTCTCAATAACAGTCAAAATTGTCAAAATAAGTCCAATATCAGGGCCGGAGATATGTGTGTGTGTGTGTGTGTGTGTGGGGGGGTGACACCCCAGCAATTTTATTCAGTCAGCAGGACTTGCTATTTGGGTTAAATATTTCTGCGCAAAGGGCAAAGATATTTGGGTTTTTTGGGTAAATTTCCGAATTTTGGTATGGAAAATTGAGGTAGTTACTGGAAAGCATTTGCAATAATGTTCTTGTCCGGAAAATTTTTTTCCGGGTGTTGTTGGTCTTCGAAAATTATTTTTTTTTGCCAGTCGGTTGAAATGACCATACACCCCCTGAAGAATTCCTTGAGGATGGCCCTGCCAATATGCGACGTGCGATCACAAATGTGTACTTTCTGTTATTTACTTTTTATTTTGCGACACTTAAGCATCAATAATTTCACGACAAAACATGTTATTTTTTACCGCATCCTTTGAAGTCACAGTAGAAAGCAGATGCATCACCTACGTCACAGTAGATTTACTTGGTTTGCATCGATTTTCAGCCATTTTGCATCAGTGAATGCATCTGTCCCGAGTCCTTTTCCGCATGAAATCTACTGTGACATCATCAAATCTATTGTTTTAGAGCCCTACGTCATGGTATTATTATTACTATTATTATTAAAACTTTATTTACACACGGTATTCTCATCAGGATTTAACATGCAACAAACTAAATTAGATAAATTACAAAAGTAGAACCACGCTAAATAGAAAATATAATACCTGCTTTTCATGAGGGCCATGTACTAAGCTAATATAACAACATATACAAGGAAAGTTAAAATAATTTGGCACAGCCCGATCGGAAATTTATCAAGTTATTTGCTTGCCGTAGCCCAATCGGAAGACTGTTCCACAGCACCGCACCACTATAGCTAAAGCTATTCTTGAGATAGTTTGTGCGGGGCTTGGGAACAGCTAGTTTGTTCTCAGTGTTTTTCAGCGAATAAGGATTAACACTGTCACGGTTTACAAACATGGAATGCATGTAATCAGGAGCAAGACCATTTTAATGATTTATAGACCATGACAGCTTTTTGAAACTGGCGCTGGGATGATAATTTTTTCCAGCCAAGTTTCTCAATTAAACCATCAGCATTAGTGT